TCCTTTCCAGTCCTTAAGGCTCAAAACATTTGCTTCACATCATTTAAAAATGTTAGAAAAACAAAAAACAATGAGGTTTGGTGATCTGAGCTTGTTTTTCAGATCTAATCATGAAATTTCATGAAAACCAAATCACATCATTCGCTTCATTTACATATTTTTAAGAACGTAAATAAGCACCCAGCTGAACCACAGCCTCACTGCTTTCACAAAGGGATACAATCTACAAAAGACCCTCCAGGATTTTATATTTTCCCTCAAAATTGAAAATCACAGCCTGCTTCAAAATACCCTCAAAAATCAAGATCGTTCTGCAGCATCTCTTGTATACAATGTAAGAAACCAAAAAGAATTTGAATGTGGCGTATCTTGTTATTGTTTCTCTTGATAAGAATCAAGATTAAGAATTCGCCTCCTCAAGGAAAATAAAACTTTTCAAACATTCTCCATCTGACGAGAGTCTGAGAGAAAAAATCAGTTTTCAAAATTCAATGACCTGCCGCCTTCCGCTGTGGCCCATTCAAGGACTGATTTACACCTGGGATGTCAGGTGGAGTCAAGTAATTAACTAGTTAGCAAATGTGCAAACAACGTGGAGCAAAGCTTAACGATTGTGGGATATCGTTTAGATTGCAAATGCGGTGGCAGAAATAATGCAGGAAACTCTTAAAGCACTGGAGATACAAATAACAGAATTATAACTGAATGCTATGTGATGACATGTATTTTTTTTGGCACGAGTGGTATGATACTAGGTTATGAGCTTAATAATACAACTTTGGCGCTATCAAATATCTGGATGATAAGTCGAGATTAACTAAACAGGCATGATTTTAGAGCTGCATTACGCGCCATTAAACCTCGTTTCCACACAGCTCTGCAGGCAGTCTGTAGGTTACACAGCTAGCATGTGCTAAGTTAGCTAAACTAGCTTGTTTTTAGCATAGACTGTATAAAAAGATGGACGTAGCTACCGTGACGTCACCCGCTGGTTTCTGCACTGAGAAAATGAAGCCAGGGTTTTGCCACTTCCTGGTTGACATCTTGGATTTTTGGAGCCTGTGATGCAAACATCGTCAGAGGGGGTGGAGCCATAGGAACAGCGATTGATCAGACGGATTGAGAGGCGGGCCCTCTCTGCCCGCCCACATTTACCGCCTTCTGCTCCCTTCATCTGTATGGTCGCTGATGACTGTCAATCAAGCCAGCCACGCCCCTTGCCCCGCAAAATGTTGACGATTTTTTTAAAAATTCAGTGTTGATTTATTTTCAGATTGGCCACCTGGTCTCTGGACTTGACCATGAAAACCAATAAGAAAAAAATCCTGAGCTGTAGGAATGCAGTATTTCATGATCTGTGATCACTTCTTTTCCAATTCAAGTCTATGGGAGCCAGGGCTTTTTGGAGCCAGCAGCTAGCAGACGTAGTGATATTGCAGGTTTTTGACACTTCCAGGTTGGCTTCATTTTTTTTCAGGACCGGTTGCTACGTCCATCGTTTATACAGTCTATGGTTACACAACTACAATGTGCTAAGTTAGCTAAACTAGCTTGTTTTTAGCTAAATAGCTAAACAATGCAACTGTCAACATAGTCAAGCAACTCAATAGCCTGTTAGCTGAAATTAACAGAAGAAGTTCATATTTTTCAATGTACTCGAGGCAAACTATGGACCAACAAGACAAAGTTTGTGAACAAATTCAAGAAGAATGAAAGGAGTTGAAGTTAACTTACGTATGCACACAGAAATGAGGCATAAAAGGCGAAGAGAAAAGCTTTTTTGAGCCAAGACTCAATTGTCGTAAGATATAGGTTGTGTTTTAGCCTCATAGTAAACAAGAATATTTGCAGAAACTAGATGAGGTTACTGTTCTAATTAAGTCTTACACATGTCTTTCAGGTTTTTGTTATAAACATTTCCATTTGAGTATGTCAGATAGGAAAACAATTTCAAGAAAAGAAGTCAAGCTAATGCTCGTGTACAAGCTAGCACCAGCTAGCCAGGTGGGAAGCTAGCAATACAATCAAATTAAAAACTGTAATACTGCCAGCTAACTTTTCCCTATTATAAAATGTATTTTTGCGCCATCAACGAAAACACTTTTCATGCAGCGTTTTTCATTTAGTTTTACTTTTCTTTACGCTAGTTTTAAAAGACGATAAATAGCAGCCACCCTGCGTTAGCCTCCCAGTGAAATCCTCACCGCATTTCAGCTGCTGTTCGCGCAGGTTGCGAAACTCCAGGCCGTGGAGGTGCGTGGGGAAAACGCACACCGTGTCGTTGCCGATCCTCACCGAGTTCCTTCGAGCCCAGACGAGCAGCCACTTGAGCTGACAGTCGCAGAACAGAGCCTCGGTGCTGAAGTGCCTGGTGAGAGGAGCAGCAGTGACCAATAGGAACAGGAGACATGTTGATATAAAATAGGTTTAGCTGATGAAATGAATGAAGGTTTCATCCCGCTAACGAGTTTCAGCTCCAGGATACAGGTTGTGCGCCTGCTGACTCACTGGCAAGCCTTTTTTTTTTTTTTCTTTTGCCAGCCCATGTGGATCAGAGCCACTGTTTATGTCATGAGCTGCACCTGTGCCTTTTACCGTAACAGGTCAGAATAACTCCAATGACAACATTTATTTATTTCTGTGCCCTGTACAAGAATAAATGAGGTGGAAATGTCTTTTTTTTTTTAAACTACAACTTACAGAAGTGAGTACACCCCTGTGCTGCAATATCACTTCAGCATCAAATGATTTTTAAAAAAATTGCATCACAATCACAGCATCACTCCTAAGTTAAAGTTCTCCAGCATAAAATTAAAACTTAATTGTTAGATTTTTTTTAAACCACCCCCACAGTAGGAACAGAGGCACTGAGAATACCAAATTTCCCACATATTTCCAGCTGCTCTTCGCTTGAGGGGCTTTTGCTCCTCTACTTTTTTCTCTTTAAAATACTCCAAAGATGTTTTACCGGATTCATGTCATGTAACATACTTGTCCTGCTCGTGCTTTACACTTTGTTCTTTTGGCAGCCTGCTTTGGATGGTTATTATGCTGAAATATTCCTCCTCTGCCAAGCGTCTGCAGACTGGGAGTCATCCTGCCAACTAGTATTCTGGTATATATACACACACAGGCAATACCGTGGCGTCTATAAATGTCGTTTTGCACTCCTGCAGTGTGAAATCACACACTCCCGTCGACGTGCTTCACTGTCAGGACGACGCGTTCACTGTGGAAGTCGTGGCCAGGTTCACACCAAACATCTCTAAACTAGTTTAGCTTGTTTTCATGTGATCAAAGGATGTGATCCCAAATATTCATCAGGCTTCTTTTGGAACATGGATGTCATTTATAGAGGTTCATGTTGTGCAATAATCCTCACACTGTCTGAACCGTCGCAGAAGCACCGATGTTTGACCCCTGTGTCAAAACTAAAGCGCTGCCCCTTCTGTTTTCCACAACTAGATTGTTGAAATAACACATCTATGGCATCATTTTAGGGAGGATGCAGCTCTGATTAGAGGCGCTATGGCCACTTCTCTACCTCCTGATTACTGCTGCAACCGGACTGATTTTTAGTTGATCTTCTTTTTTCTTTGTGAAGGCACATAATCAGCTTTTTGAACTCTTCTGACATTTCTTTTTCATGTGGAGCCATGATGAAGACATGCAGACAGACGTTCTGGTGTTTACAGCTCACTGTATGTTCATGGCAGTTTAGGCCAGTTGGAAATCACAGGTGTACTCAGTTTTGTTTAAGTGATTGCAGGTTTTCTAGCACAGATGTATTTATTTGTGTTGCATTGAGTTTCTACTTTGGAGCTTGGATTTTTTTTTAATGTTTATAAGAGGAAATACTTGTTGACTTAGAAATATTGCAATTACATAAAGCTGATATCATTTGAACGTTCAAGTGATTTCGCACAGGCCTGCACTCAGCTCTAGGTAACTAAACGTATGTGTGTGTTTGCCTTACAGCACTCTGAGAGCCAGCAGGTGTGTGAAGAGTCCCGTAGTCAGAGTGGAGAAAATGTTCCCAGATAAATTTCTGCTTGTAGACAAAAAGAAAAAAAAAGAAAACACACACACATAGAGAGAAAGAGGTCACTCATCGCACAGACTGCAACCACATTTGCGTATTTTTAGACATTACTGTAGTCGCATTAAACGCCGCGTTCCTTACAGACACGGTGAAAATGAAGCATAAAGAGGTGCAATGCGTGTTTCCAATTAAAGGATTACTCACAATTTTGAGAGGTTGCCAAGATCAAGAAACATTTCAGGGGAGAGGCAGCCGATCCTGTTGTTGGACAAGTCGCTGTGTGGACGATAAACAGAAACATGTTTCACACCTTATAGTGATTTTTTTTTTTTTACTATTGTCACAGTTAGAACAAGTGAGAAAACAAATCGTTGTATCTGTGCTAGTGTGTGCTTTCATGCATGCTTGCACAGCTATGAAGGCTGGTTATCTATGTCATCTATTCAACTCCCTGGAATATCTGTCCTGACCTTTTGCAACCTTTTACTCGTCACATAACCATTGCTGGCACACATACACACACACACACACACAAACACTGACATAAGCGAACACGTGGAAATGCAGTGGGCTTCCATATGCGAGTGGCTGAGCGCTGTCGCGTCCGTGGCTCCGTGCCCTCGCTCTCTGTAATTAAAGAGCTGCTTTGCTGGAGCAGCTGTGGGAAAATAAGCAGAGCACTCGAATAATCACCAGTTGGGGAGCACTTAAATTAGCACTCTGCTGCTCCCCGAGCCTTGTGCACACGCGCCCCGAATCAGCGCGGCTAACTCACTGCTCGCATCCCTGCCAGCACAGATCCCACTAACTATCAGGCTGCAATCATGTCACTCACTCCCTAACCCTTTATGCAGAAAACCAGGATGAGAGTAATCGTGGAGAAAATTACCCGGGCAAGGGAAAACACCGAAAACAAAACCAAAAATTGACTCTCTCAAACTTTCTTGTGCAACTTTGTGCAAAGAAGTCTGTGAAACATTTCAAATTTGGATATAACTTGACTCAACAATCAAAGCAGTAACAAAGGAGCAGGAAGGCTGTTTGTTGATTTTAACTTTGAAAACAGAAGAAACATCATCTTATATTTACAATATTCACAAGCAAAAGCCTGGTCCTGTGATAGACTGGTGACCTGTG